AGCTCACATGCCCTATAGCAAAAACCTCTCAAACAAAAACAAAAAACAAAAAACAAAAAACAAAAAACAAAAAAAAGAAGAAAAGAAAGACAACTCCCAAAGGCCCCGCCTCCCGATAGAATGACTAGGCTTTACCATGAGTCTGGAGAGGCAATGCCAACACTCAGATCAGAGGATCTGAATCTTCATTCTTTTTATTTTATTTTATTTAGTATTAGTATTATTATTTAATTTGACCAGAGAGAGACAGAAAAGAGAAAGGGAAAGTGAGAAAGCAAGTCTCCAGGTCCAGGATTCAAACCACAGTCAGTCATGTGGGAGTCCAGTACCTTAACCACGATGCCACCTGCCAACCCCTGAATCTTCACAGTGTCCCCCTTAGAAGTCCTGTGAAGTCCCCCAGTGGCACCAACCTCACCCCGATGTGAGGGTGTGAACTTGTCACCTGTCTGCTGGGTGACCTTGCAAAGCCATCCCTCTGCTTGAGGCTATGTCATTCACATCTCCCCTCAAGAGCACCTGCTCCAAGCAGGTGGCCCTTCAGCCTGCGGCTGCTGCACCTCCAGCTCTACGGTGGCTTTCCTGGGGCAGGTAGTGCGCTTTTTCTGGAGACTCTTGCCCGGGGACTGGGCACCGTGGGGATACCAACTCCAGGCTAATTCTGCCCTCCATGGGACTCCTGTAACAGACCAGCTTTACTCTGGGCCTGATCCAGGCTTTCTGCAGCCTGAGGCTCTGCCCGCCCAAGCGTCTGTCCCGCCTGCCTCTGTCACAGGTGTCAGACCTGGAGCACAGTCAAAGGCTCTCTCAGCTTCCCTCTGCTCCCTCCCTGTACCCCGACAAGCAGCCTCCCTGTAAAGCCCTCAAGTGTCTTTAATTGGACTTAGCATCTGTCTCCGGGAAGACCTGTGTTGATGCACCTTTCTGGGCCACAGGACTGACCTCGCCACCTCTCAAAGTCCCCGTTGGTGTCACTGCCATTAATAGCATGCTGTGCTTCCCCGTGGGACCCTGTGGGAGGCCTGGGTTTGGCTCCTTGTCCAACCTGAAGACCAGGCACGGTGCCATGTGCTGCAGTCCCAGCGACTCAGGGAGGCTTGAGCAGGAGGATTGCCACAGGAAGAGATTCTTGCCTATAAAAAAAGAAAAAGAAGAAAAAGAAAGTCTCCACCATCACTAAGTGGTGGAGTAGAAGTGTGGTCTCCCTGTCAAAGCCAGGGCACATGGCACAATCCAATGACAGCTGCAGCCGGAGGCAAGGGACAGCTGTCCCCAGACCCTGGGCTCCCACTGACTATGCTCCTCCTCAATCCCACCATCACTCCCAGCCTCTGCATCCTTCACCAGAGAGTTGGGGGCACGGAGAAAGGCCTCAGGGTGTGGGCTGGGACAGGAGCCGGGGTGTCTCCAGGTCCAGGATTCAAACCACAGTCAGTCATGTGGGAGTCCAGTACCTTAACCACGATGCCACCTGCCAACCCCTGAATCTTCACAGTGTCCCCCTTAGAAGTCCTGTGAAGTCCCCCAGTGGCACCAACCTCACCCCGATGTGAGGGTGTGAACTTGTCACCTGTCTGCTGGGTGACCTTGCAAAGCCATCCCTCTGCTTGAGGCTATGTCATTCACATCTCCCCTCAAGAGCACCTGCTCCAAGCAGGTGGCCCTTCAGCCTGCGGCTGCTGCACCTCCAGCTCTACGGTGGCTTTCCTGGGGCAGGTAGTGCGCTTTTTCTGGAGACTCTTGCCCGGGGACTGGGCACCGTGGGGATACCAACTCCAGGCTAATTCTGCCCTCCATGGGACTCCTGTAACAGACCAGCTTTACTCTGGGCCTGATCCAGGCTTTCTGCAGCCTGAGGCTCTGCCCGCCCAAGCGTCTGTCCCGCCTGCCTCTGTCACAGGTGTCAGACCTGGAGCACAGTCAAAGGCTCTCTCAGCTTCCCTCTGCTCCCTCCCTGTACCCCGACAAGCAGCCTCCCTGTAAAGCCCTCAAGTGTCTTTAATTGGACTTAGCATCTGTCTCCGGGAAGACCTGTGTTGATGCACCTTTCTGGGCCACAGGACTGACCTCGCCACCTCTCAAAGTCCCCGTTGGTGTCACTGCCATTAATAGCATGCTGTGCTTCCCCGTGGGACCCTGTGGGAGGCCTGGGTTTGGCTCCTTGTCCAACCTGAAGACCAGGCACGGTGCCATGTGCTGCAGTCCCAGCGACTCAGGGAGGCTTGAGCAGGAGGATTGCCACAGGAAGAGATTCTTGCCTATAAAAAAAGAAAAAGAAGAAAAAGAAAGTCTCCACCATCACTAAGTGGTGGAGTAGAAGTGTGGTCTCCCTGTCAAAGCCAGGGCACATGGCACAATCCAATGACAGCTGCAGCCGGAGGCAAGGGACAGCTGTCCCCAGACCCTGGGCTCCCACTGACTATGCTCCTCCTCAATCCCACCATCACTCCCAGCCTCTGCATCCTTCACCAGAGAGTTGGGGGCACGGAGAAAGGCCTCAGGGTGTGGGCTGGGACAGGAGCCGGGGTTAGACCGGGCAGCCCACGTCCACTCTCTGCTTCTGACTTCCCTTCTCTGGGCTGCAGAGGGCCAGGCGGTGGGAGTGACAGCTGATTTTTGGCATCTGTGAGGTCCAAGCTCCTTCCTCTGCCTGTTAAGACCAAACCAGGAGAGAAGCAGGCAGGACGGCGTGTGTGTGGAGGGAGAGCTCATCTTGCAGCGTCAGGGCAAGGGCCAGGCCTCGAACCATGTCTCGATTACGCGCTGACACCCACAGTTTGTGGGGTGCTATGCCTGGACTCCTGTGGGTGGCCAGCAGCCCAGGAGAGCAGTTCCTGTTCGGCCCCAGCTCCCTGAAGAGTCACTGTCGGGCACAGCAGCAGGATGAGGGGGTCAGGTCCTCAGAGACGTTCCTGGGAAGTGGTGAGTATGAGGAGGCAGAGACTTCCTAGAGAGGCACTTCTGTGCTGGGCTTTGAAGGATGTGTAGGAGTTTTCCAGATGAAGGGAAAAGCTTTCAAGGCAGACAGGGTGCAAAGTCCAGAGATGTGATTCTGTTATAGGTTTCAGAAAACCCCGGGAAGTGGCCGGACTGCCGTGGAGGCCAGGAGAATGATGGCAGAGTAGGTGCTCAGACCAACAATGGCCGCCACGGAGGATCGGGCTCGGCAGCCTTCACTAGGGCCCTGAGAGCCAGAAGCTAGTCTTAGTGCCATCTTACCGGGAAGGCAGCAGAGCCCCAGAGAGACAGAACGGGAGTCTGATGGGAATGAGTTGGGCTGTGTCGGGACCCGCCAGGACCCCATCACGCCTGGAGCCACAGGCCAGGCCAGTCTCTCCTTCCTGGTGAGCGAGGCCGGGGTCCCCACCCCACCCATGGCCACCTGACTTCCGGGCGCCCTGCCCCCCGCCCGCACCCCAGTGTCCCTATCCCGCTGACATCATCACACATGGAAGAGAAATCCGCGAGATTCCAGGGAGGCCAGAGTGTGGGAACCAGGGCAGATGCCGCTGGCGCTGCCCCAGGGCGGAGGCTCCCCCAGCCTCTGGGTGCTGCCAAGGCGGGTCTGGAATGTGTCCGAAGCCTCTGGCATTCTCCGTGGCAGGCACCCCCCAGGTCCTGGGAAAGCTGGAGCGGCCCTCTCCCCCAGCCTGCCACTCCAGCCCTGGGCAGCCTCTGCCGCGCTTGGGCTGCCCGGTTCTAGGAGCAAGGAGTATATGAACCTGGCCTGCACCCCGTGCCCCCCATAGCCCGAGCAGGACCCTCATGAACTCTGCAATCCTGGGGTGGGACAGGGAAAGGGACCCTGACGGGCATTGTCCACCACCCCGCTGAGGAGCTTGGGAATGTGTGCCTAAGTGTGTGCGTGTGCTGTGGATGGACAGACACGGACAGATGTCCCGCCCCACCCCGCCAGCCCCAGAGGTCGCTGCACGCCGCCTGTCCCACACATGTGGCTCCCAGCAGCAGGACATTCCGTCAGTGGCCAGCTGTGCAGCAGCTGTGGAGTAGGGAGTGAGGCTGACGGCCCCGGGGGACTCGGGGAGGAGAGCGAGGGGAGGTTGGGAAGGGCCTGGAATGAGCAGGGGTCAGGCTGGAGGGGAGGCGCTCAGACTGTTCTCAGGCTGGGACGGCGAGCAGGAACGTGGTGACGGGAAGTCCAGTGTCTGGGCCTTGGCATGGAGAGCCTGGGGAGGCCCAGGACAGGCCCGAACACCCTGGCCAGGCCTTGGCGTAGTAAGGAGCGGAAGGACAAAACCACGCAGTTGGACAAATGGTCCGGACCTCAGAAACAACTGCATTAGAGAGAGCTTTGGGAATCAGGCTCATGCGGTAAAGCCGTGGGAGTACAGGGGTCACCCAGGGAGAAAGTGGGGGAGGAGGCTGCGCCTAGAGGCTAACAGTGAAGTGCTCGCCCCAGACTCCAGGCCCTGCTCTCCATTGTCCTCAGAACAAGCCTACAGACTGAGTAGCTTTGTGACCCCATTCTATAGACGAGAAAACCGAGTCCTGCCTCACTGTGTTCTTCTGAGATGTTTCTGCCCCTCTCTGGGCCTCAGGGTCCCCAGACACAAGAGAAAGGGCAGGGCCCGGCAGAGGGAAGGCTGGTGGCACCGAGGCACACGGGGCCCCCTCCTCTCCCTGCCTCTCCTCAGGCCCTGACCCACCTCCTCCACAGAGAGGGGAGAGGCCCTCAGGAGCCCCTCAGCCTCCCCTCACCACTAGGTGCTCAGCCAGTACATTCCAAATCCCAGCCTGGTGCCACGCTCCCCACTGTTCTTGTGGGGAGCCGGTGAAGAGCAAGCCAGTACACCTACCTGATGGGGTGACAGCCCAGCCCTGCGGACAGACGTTAATAGCCAGCTGCTGCCTGGGCAGCTCTGCAGTCATCCTTCCTCAGACACCCCAGTGGACACCTAAGATTGAGGAGAGTACCGAGCCGCACACGCACTTGCCAGAGAGAGAGAGAGAGTACCCCCGATGGGGCGTGTTCATGCCACAGTATCTTTTCCTCCATTTCTCCAACCCATCAGGAGTGTGATACGTGCACACATGTGCCCAGCAAGTTCTTCCAGTCACCAGGCCGGGCTCTGAACCATGGTCAGCCCTGGGGGAGCGGGTTCCCTGTGCCCAGGGCTTAACCGTGACGCTGCAGGGCTGGCTCTGTACTGTGTAATTTGATCTGATAACCAAGATGGCTGCTACTGGCTAACGGTGGGTGGTGTATACGGCGTGGACAGTACGGGTGGGTGGGGTATACGGTGTGGACAGTACAGTGGGGGGTGTATACGGCGTGGACAGTACGGGTGGGTGGGGTATACGGTGTGGACAGTACAGTGGGGGGTGTATACGGCGTGGACAGTACGGGTGGGTGGGGTATACGGTGTGGACAGTACAGTGGGGGGTGTATACGGCGTGGACAGTACGGGTGGGTGGGGTATACGGTGTGGACAGTACAGTGGGGGGTGTATACGGCGTGGACAGTACGGGTGGGTGGGGTATACGGTGTGGACAGTACAGTGGGGGGTGTATACGGCGTGGACAGTACGGGTGGGTGGGGTATACGGTGTGGACAGTACAGTGGGGGGTGTATACGGCGTGGACAGTACGGGTGGGTGGGGTATACGGTGTGGACAGTACAGTGGGGGGTGTATACGGCGTGGACAGTACGGGTGGGTGGGGTATACGGTGTGGACAGTACAGTGGGGGGTGTATACGGCGTGGACAGTACGGGTGGGTGGGGTATACGGTGTGGACAGTACAGTGGGGGGTGTATACGGCGTGGACAGTACGGGTGGGTGGGGTATACGGTGTGGACAGTACAGTGGGGGGTGTATACGGCGTGGACAGTACGGGTGGGTGGGGTATACGGTGTGGACAGTACAGTGGGGGGTGTATACGGCGTGGACAGTACGGGTGGGTGGGGTATACGGTGTGGACAGTACAGTGGGGGGTGTATACGGCGTGGACAGTACGGGTGGGTGGGGTATACGGTGTGGACAGTACAGTGGGGGGTGTATACGGCGTGGACAGTACGGGTGGGTGGGGTATACGGTGTGGACAGTACAGTGGGGGGTGTATACGGCGTGGACAGTACGGGTGGGTGGGGTATACGGTGTGGACAGTACAGTGGGGGGTGTATACGGCGTGGACAGTACGGGTGGGTGGGGTATACGGTGTGGACAGTACAGTGGGGGGTGTATACGGCGTGGACAGTACGGGTGGGTGGGGTATACGGTGTGGACAGTACAGTGGGGGGTGTATACGGCGTGGACAGTACGGGTGGGTGGGGTATACGGTGTGGACAGTACAGTGGGGGGTGTATACGGCGTGGACAGTACGGGTGGGTGGGGTATACGGTGTGGACAGTACAGTGGGGGGTGTATACGGCGTGGACAGTACGGGTGGGTGGGGTATACGGTGTGGACAGTACAGTGGGGGGTGTATACGGCGTGGACAGTACGGGTGGGTGGGGTATACGGTGTGGACAGTACAGTGGGGGGTGTATACGGCGTGGACAGTACGGGTGGGTGGGGTATACGGTGTGGACAGTACAGTGGGGGGTGTATACGGCGTGGACAGTACGGGTGGGTGGGGTATACGGTGTGGACAGTACAGTGGGGGGTGTATACGGCGTGGACAGTACGGGTGGGTGGGGTATACGGTGTGGACAGTACAGTGGGGGGTGTATACGGCGTGGACAGTACGGGTGGGTGGGGTATACGGTGTGGACAGTACAGTGGGGGGTGTATACGGCGTGGACAGTACGGGTGGGTGGGGTATACGGTGTGGACAGTACAGTGGGGGGTGTATACGGCGTGGACAGTACGGGTGGGTGGGGTATACGGTGTGGACAGTACAGTGGGGGGTGTATACGGCGTGGACAGTACGGGTGGGTGGGGTATACGGTGTGGACAGTACAGTGGGGGGTGTATACGGCGTGGACAGTACGGGTGGGTGGGGTATACGGTGTGGACAGTACAGTGGGGGGTGTATACGGCGTGGACAGTACGGGTGGGTGGGGTATACGGTGTGGACAGTACAGTGGGGGGTGTATACGGCGTGGACAGTACGGGTGGGTGGGGTATACGGTGTGGACAGTACAGTGGGGGGTGTATACGGCGTGGACAGTACGGGTGGGTGGGGTATACGGTGTGGACAGTACAGTGGGGGGTGTATACGGCGT